AAGATCTTCCACCTCCTCGTTGTCGGCTGGAAAAATCCATCCCTGTGTTTGGGCTCAAATCAAGAAACTCTTCCGTATTTTCTCAAAACAACAGACTTTTACCCCAAAATAGGCTTTCAAATTGAAACTGCACAAAATGAGATTCAAGAAAGGAAGGACTGGAAGGTTCCAGTGGATGGGGGGTGAGACCACTCTCAGTGTCGGAGCCTCAGCCAAGGCCCACACCCACATCAGGCCTGTCACCCTGGAGCAGACGGGGCGGGTGGGGAAGGAGCTCGGCCCCCGCCCCCCCCGCCCCCAGCAGAGCCCTGTCACTCTCTGAGCATCGGGCCGCCATCCAGTCTTTCGGGTCCCTGAGCGGCTTCCCCGGGCCGCCATCCTCGCCAACAACCAGATCCTGACCCCACGGGTGCGTGTGCACTGGCCTCGCAGGAGCTCCTCCTCTGCCCCCCACTCCGACCCCCTCCGAGGGGCTGGCTCACATCCCCTCCCCCAAGCTTCGACTCTGTCTCCAGTTGCTGTCAGAGTAGACGTGCCCGGAGCCAGGCCGAGTGACCACCTCCCCTCGCCCTGCACTGCCTCTGCTCTGGGCCTCCACTGGGGGTCCAGCCACCCCAAGATTGTCAGCAGTGAGCAGCCTCCTGCCAACAGCCAGCAAGAAAGCCCTGCCCACAGCGGCGAGAAGCCGCTCCTGCCAGTGAGCTGGGGGCATGGACGCGGTCCTTGCCAGGTCCGGCCCCAGATGGGCGCGGCCTGAGACCCAGAGAGGGGGCTCTCGACCCAGGAAACATGGTCTCGCTGTCAGCGGCGCTTCTGAAGGTAAGGACGCCTGCAGATCACAGAGGCCAGAGATAGGCCTGGCACAGACTTTCCCTGAAGCCTTGGAAGGAACCACCCCCAGTGACACCTTGACCTCAGCCTTCTGGCCTCCAGGACAGGGTTCCGCAGCCCCAGCACTCTCACAGCCCCCATCTCTCCGCTCGGTGAACACCCACACCCTACTGAGTGCCAGGGACCTGTGAGGCACAGCAGGCGCACGCGGCCACGCCCCGGGGCTCTCTAGTAACCGCACCGGCCCGGATGCTCCGCTGCTGTGAGGGGGCCTGCCCCAGGGACGGCGGCCAGCATGGCCGGCAGGCAGGGACTGCACCCGCTGCCCGGCCCGAGAGCCCCGCCTGAAACACAGGAGCAGGGCCTGCAGGTCGTGACCATCAGTGATGGGGGATCAACACTGAGGGCGCGACACTGCTTCAATAAACTGGAAGGCGCATGCGCGTCGCGTGTAACAAGGGCGGGAGGTGCTTCAGGGGACTTTTGTTCAGCGGCTCGTGCGCAAGTGACGCGGGCACCGGGCCTGGAGGTAAACCGCCTCCTGCCTGCAGCGGCGAGTCCGAGGAAGAGCGTGTGGATGCGACCGATGGGCTTGTCTGCGTCCTGCTTGGGACGGAGGCTGCGCCTGGGCCCTGAGACAGCCCCGAGGCCCTCCGCAGCAGGCGCGCCAGGGGACGGAGCCAACGCATCCTCCTCTTCCTGAGCTTCAGCCGCAGGGCAGGCCCCAGGCCGCTCCCGAGTCCTCCCGCCCGACGCCGGGGCGCCAACTGGTCCACGTCTGACCTCTCTGCCCTGGAGCGCAGGACACCCCTCGGAAAGGGGATTTCCATCAGCGTCACTGGTGTCGCGGTGGAGACACCCTGTCACAGGGTTAAGTGAGTGGCTCAGGCGTGTGTGCCGTGCACGCGTGTGTGCACACGAGCATGTCAGTGCCTTGTGTGCGTATGCAAGCCCCGTGCACGGGCGTTTGGGCGTGCTGCACGTGTGAGGTGTGCTCTTCCACGTGTCAGAGCTTGTGTGTGCACACATGTGAGTGTTCTGCATGTGTGTGGAGGTGTGGGCACACACGTGAGCATGTGCATGCGTGTGGAGTGTGTGCTTGCACTGGCCCACACGCACTGTTTGGCGCGGGGTTACGGGTGGAAGGGCCTGGATCTCCTCCCCACACATGGATCGGGGAACCGGAGCCAGAGAGGAGCCACAGGGACACAGCGCCGTCACCGGGCAGTGAGGTCTCGGGAGCAGCCGTTGGCTGAAGTGAAGGCGGGTGGTCAGCCGTCCAGACAGCACAGCAGTTAGGGCAGCGGCGCGGGGCGGCCGGAGCCTCGGCACAGACTCCACTAGAGGGGCTTCGGTCCCCCGGCACTCACCCTGCGCCCGTGGGAACCGGAGCCGTGGAGGATCAGCCGCACGTTCATGTGCGAAACACAGCGTGTACTCCACGAAGGAGGTGCGTCCGGATGGTGCAAACCCTCCGACGTGAGTCTTCCAGGATGCGCTGACGAGGAGGCGGAGGCCCACGCAGTGTTTACAGATCCTGCTCACCGCAGTGACGGGCGAGGCGCGTCGGACCCAGCAGGACACGAGCATCTCTGCGGGGCCACCAGAGGGCCAGCCACCCGGACAGTCACGTCTGACCCCACTGAGACTGCTGCCTGCTCGTCCTGCAGGAGGAGGGGCCCTCGGCCGTCTGGTGCTGGGGGCTGTGCCCACGCTGCTCCCCCCACCGACCCTCCGCCTCTCCTCGGGAGTGGTGCTCACCAGCCACTGCCTCTTTTCTGAGGTCAGTTTCTCTATAATCGAGCACCTGGGTGACCAGGTGCCCTCGCCAGGCCCCTGTCCATCCAGATGGGCCAGCACTCCCACTGCCTGGCTGGAGCTCCCCCGCCCCCCCGGCCTGCCCCTTCTACCTCGGCCTCCCTGCCAGGGGGCCGACCATCCACTGGCCAAGGGTGTGTCGACCCAGCCCAGGTGAGACAGAGGGACAGCAGACCCCGGTCCGACCTGGGTCTCGGGGGACAGTATTTGGACTGCGAACCGAGAGACAGGACCGTGCCTTAGTTAGGAGATGTGTTTTGCACGGAGATGAGCTACAATCCTGAAATTACTCTTATTTATTCTAGAACTCAGCAAGCAGGCAAACACATGGGCAATCAGAACGGCGGCATAATTTGCAGGCTTGGTACAAAACGAGAACGCGGGGCCCTCGTTCCAGACGCACTGAGGGTTTCAGGACGGCAACAACGGAGCGGTAAACGAAGCCCTTCCCGGCGCGAGGCCCTGCGGGCAGCGTCTCCCACTGCAGGAAGGGCCCCAGGGAAGGAGGGAGGCGGCGAGAGGGAGTGGGGCTGCCGCGGGGGGGTCAGCGCACGCAGGGTTTGAACACAGACACGTGCGTGCACACGCGGACAGCTGGGCGGGTGGACGGCGGAGAACTGGACTCAGGTGTGTGGGAAGCATGTTCTGAGCTCTGCGTCCGAGAGGCTGTGGCACCCGGGTGGGCACAGAGCCCCCCGGAGCCCCAATTCTTCTCCAGCGAGAGGCTTCGGGGCTCCTGGGAGAAACCGCTGATCCCTGAGCTCAGGCCCAGAAGGCGGCGGGGAGCCTGGAGCGTCTTGTGGGGCCACAAGCTGAGGATGGGGGCGCATGGGAAGGACAGCGCTGCTCTGAGGGGCTTCCAAAGGCCACACCGGGACGGTCTGAGCAAAAATCCCCCTCGTAAGGACGGCAGCGACGGACGCCGTCCTCCTCCCTCAGCTCCAGCTGCTGTGACAGACATCACCGCCAGGGCGGTTTATAAACGACAGACACTGGTTTCTCACAACCTTGGAGGCTGGAGGCCGGGACCAGGGTGCGGGGAGGGCAGGCGCGGGC